TAAAATGTGTATCTTAATCTTCCCTATAACTTTTATATTTAACATTTTTTTGTAAATCTCGAAACAAATGAGATAATGGACTTTACTCTATCGTTGACTCACCCTGTACATCTTACAGATTTTATTTATTGATATAAACTAATACTAGGTTTTATTTATTGATATAAATAAATAAATAACCCATAATAACGCTTAGAATAATCTTCATAATGGACTAGTTTTTGCCAATATTTAATAAGTATGTAAATCGCACCGACATATGTGTAACAATGTGTCCTGTCGTTTCTTCTTCAGATTGACAGCTTCGTCTGTCAATCCCATTTGCTTTAGAAGCCATTTGGTGATGTTTTCACCCCCAGTTAATTTTTATCTTTATTTTATTTGCTATATCACTTTATTCCATTTAAAAAAATTAATTAACTGGAATCTAATCACACATTCTATTACAAGATCATGAAATTCCATTATAATGTAATTACAAATATATTTAATTAATTAAATACCTGTAGTTAAGTCATTAAACATAAATAATTACTAGCGATGGGAACTATCGAATGAATTAGACTATCGAATGGTTACTGAATGAATGATTTCAACTATCGAAGGGTTTTATTCGAATAAAATCATTCATTCATTTGTATACTAAAGCATATGTGACAACCTCGCCGTGCAACTAAATGGTTATCGTTGAGCCAGGACTATCGAATGCTTTTGATAAATGAAATTTAGTCAGAGTATTCGTTTGATTTTTGTGTGCGTCAGTGCATTATTAGTTCTTCCAAAATTTTTATAACTTCACCTTATAAATACTGTGCCAATTTTGGGTTTATTAAAATATTTAAAATACTAAAATAGTAGTTTTTTTTAATTGACGACTCTGTGCGTGTGCAGGTGTCAAAATTTTTCCGAAAATTTGTGTGATTTTCCGTAGCCCGATCTTTCAATTATTTTATTTTATATGGTATATATGGTCTATTTTTTAATGGGAAATTTTGAGAAGTAGCAATTTTTACGAGAGATGAGATGAACTTAGAATTAATTTTAAAAATACATATTTGTATTTTAGATGTTTAAATAATATGAATTAGTTGAACTAGTTGAAAGCGAAGAAATATTTCATTTATTTTTTAAAGTAAATGCCAGTAAAAGTAAATATTATTTTTAACCTAATATAAATAATTTTGATTTCTAATTTTTTATTTAAATTTTCCTTCCATTACACTGCATGCTTAGAAAATTAATAAATGTTTATATTTCATGATTTTAAAGTTTGTTGTTAATATAACAAACTAGTTCTGTAATTATTATTATTTAATAAACCAAGGTTGCCACACAAAAAATTTAAAGACTATATTATTTTTAAATAGGATCTAATATAAATAATTTTGACATCTAATTTGTTGTTTATATTTTGCTACTACGTAAAATAATGTTTATATTAAATTGTTTTAAATTTTGTTGTTAATAGGTATAACAAATTATTACTGTTATTATTATTTTTATTAAACCAGTCTTTGCTTAAAAACATTAAAAATCATTTTCCTACATCCAAAATAACAAGTATTATTGCAGTGTAACAACAGAATATTAATAAAAAAAATGCAAAATATATAGACATACTATCCCTAACTAACTAAAGCCAAACAATAATATTCTTTGCTAATATCAACTAATACCAATATATGGCAACAGCGCCCTTCATAATGTATTTTCTGTGTAAATACTAGCACCTCAATAAAAAAAAATAATGTGTCCTTATCTTTATATGACTCCGCAAAAAATCAAAGATGCCGGCTTCTTTCATAGCATTGCTTGTGGCATTGCCATCGACCGCTGTCGGGTTTCTCGGAAAGAAACCTACGTCGCCGGGCGACAACTAAAATCCAGTTAATATTTTGTTATAATCGATCCTGACGAATAAATGAATTTCATAAATGAATGAATTTTATAAATGAATGTTTTTTGCTGCCGAATTACTAGAATACAATATTTCAAGGCAGATGACGATTATCGAATAGATGATAATTTTTATTCGAATAGTTTTCAACGAATGTTTTTTTACTAGCTATCGAATTATTCGAATGAATTGCAACTATCGAATGTTTCGATAGTATTCATTCGATAGTTCCCACTACTAATAATTACTGTAGATATACATAGTACTTGAATAAAATATATTCAAAACCACTTGGTTTAACAATTTTTCAGAACTAGGGCTACAATTTTTTTATTCGATTTCATAATATATTAAAAGAGTAAAACTTATTTGTTTATATAAATACAATCACAATCAAAAGTGTCCTAAATTCCACACACGGACAAATATTTTCGAACTTTCCTCCTATAGCGCTATAAAACCGGAATTTTAAATATATATGCAGTATACCGAGTGCGTCTCAAAAATGGCTCACCCCCTATAACTCTTTTATTTTTTCAGATAAAAAAACGAGATTTGGTATGTTAGTATATGACATAAATTAGGATTGACGTATTCAATTGTTTTCGGTCACTTCCTGTTTCACCGGAAATGACTACAACTTTTGATTTTTAAATGGTATATTTCTACTTTATTCGATAGAAAATGACTCTCTGCATAGAATGACATATTATATCTCAACTTTTGACATATTTGCTCAAAAACAAATTGTATTTTAAATTTAAATCTAGAGTGCCATGGCTATGTTAAAAACACTAATTTTTAATCAAAGAACCTTGCAAAAATAGATTTGATCGTCTAATGTTTTTACTTTTTACTGTCTTATCCTGGCCGGTTAAAAGATGCCCAAATTGTATTTTTAATCATATCTATTTTTTTTCAAACGGAACGAGGGTGGCTCATTAGCATATTTGGAAAAAGCATTTTTACAAATAATTTAAAACCACACACTTGGTATTTCGAGTCAAATTGTGGTTATGACATCACAACCGCATGTTATAATTTCAAATAAACGATATATCCGAAAATGTCAAAAGTTGACATATGATATGTCATTTTATTTATTTTTTGTATTTGGTAGAATAAGAATGAAAGAATAAAAATAAGAATAAAATAAAATAAACAAAAATAAGAATGTAAGTGAAGAAAGTGTAGAAGAAGGTGTAGTTTTGGTATATGGTGCAAAATATTTAATTATGTTTATTTCATAAATATTTCTCGAAAATAAAAATGAAATGGTTTCACCTTGTATGTGTGTTTTAATAATTTTGTTTGGTTGATCGTATATGTTACAGCTGGTTGCTCAATGATTTGATAATTGGGTTTAACCAGCGACCAGCGAAAGTATCTTAAGCGAAATTACATGTGTAAATTAGCGCTATTACGTGTTTGTTTCCATTAAAGTTTAGTTAACAGAAGGAAAATAAACAAACAGTATATCATTAAATACATAACCAATCAGAGTTTTGTGTGATTTGTAGCTGATCTACTTGCTGATAAAATGTAATAAGTAAATTGTAAAAGTGATTATACAATTTCGTAAAATGCTCCTATTTACAACTTTTCTGCATGGTAACATTGAATCACAACCTATTCATAACCAGCCTGTCGACTTGCGATCATATTTTGTGTACGAGGACAGGCACAGCAGGTAGAACGAAAATCCAATCTCTCCAACCAGTCGGGACAAAAAATACAATTTACCTGTAAATTATTATGATGCTGTTATTCATTCAGATTGTGATTCAGTCCAATGCAATGTAATGTGAACCTTATTGTCTATTTATAGACATACTTTCATGATTTACATATTTCACTTTGTATTCTTAAAGAGAAATTGATTATATAATGTCAAAAATTCCGTTATTTATATTTATTTTGCATAACTTTCATCGAATTAGTAAAAGATGCGATACTAATTACTCAATAAGTCCGGCAATAGTGCGTCGGTCATGTGTTATCCTAGAATAAAAAACTTGAGAATTTTGTTGTTGAAAGTGCAAAGTTAAAGTATGTATGAGGATGTACTTCCGGAAAATATTTTAACTTCTATAGGGTGGCCCAAAAAAGTATGAGTGGATCTGGATGATTTTTTCTAAATGGAACACCCTGTATATTACTGCATTCTTGACTTCCTTTCAGAACACTTTACATAATCCTAAGATATGAATAAATATGTTTTGATTAGTTTCAGAGATATTAAAAAATAAATCAAAAATATATAGTTTTCAACCCTTCTTAAAAAAAATATTAAAAATACAGGAACTGTTCTGAAATCAAAAAACTATAATGGCTATTTACTTTAGATGGTCTGTTCTTATTTTGCTGTAAATTTGGTAATCGTAAATCATACAGGATGTTCAATATTTTACGCCAAACTTTCAAAAATATAAAATAATTTTTCTTCATTTTTTTTTAAATGGAACACCCTGTATATTTTTTTATTTGATGGAGAATTAAATGAACATTTTTTGTATTGTATGTATTTCAAAGCAAAAAATGTTCATTTTTTAATTCTCCATTTATTGAAAAAATAATAGACAGGGTGTTCCATTTAGAAAAACAAAGAAAAATTATTTTATATTTTAGACAGTTTGGCGTAGAATTTTGAACATCCTGTATGATATACGATTTCCAGATTTATAGCAAATTAAGTAGAATACAGACCATTTATAGTAAATATCTAATATAGTTTTTTGATTTCAGGATAGTTATTGTATTATTAATAATTTTTTAAGAAAGGTTGGAAAATATACAATTTGTATTTATTTATTAATATCTCTTAAATTATCGAAATATATTTAATCATGTCTTAGGATTATGTAAAGTGATCAGAAAGGAAGCCAAAAATGTAATAATATACAGGGTGTTCCATTTAAAAAAAATTATCCCGATCCATTCACACTTTTTTTGAGCCACCCTATAGAAGATAAAATATTTTCCTGAAATACATCCTAGTACATAGTTAGGTTTGCACTTAATCAAAATTCCCAAGTTTTTTATTTTAGGAGCTACAGATGCCCGACGCACTATTGCCGGACCCTGTATATAAAAATCCTTACAGGAGAACACAAAAAGAACCCGAACTACTAGACACAACCAAAGAAGACTCCTTGTACAATAGTCAATTCAACAGGAAGTACCCGACCAAGATAGTGGTGCATGGTTTTGGCGGTGGGAGGAACTTGTCTCCCAGTACTGACATGAGGGATGCTTATTTCTACAGGGGGCACTACAACGTCATTATAGTCGATTATGGGACGCTTGTCAAAGAACCATGTCTTAGTGTAAGTCAATTAAAATATAAGAATAATCTAACACGCATGCTCATTAGGGTTTCCGAAACCGGAGCTGTGTTTTTCGGAACAGGGTCTCTTAGAAACCGGAATTTCCCGGTTTTTTCGGTACTTTCGGTACTGATGTTGTTTGTTCAATGATGGTGCAGTTCATCAATCAGAAAGCAAGGGATGGTTTTTGGATAACTACACACTAAACAAGTAATCAGTCATGAAAAAATTAACATGAACACAAGTAAAGAAAAAAGTATAGGTAACTTAAATTTCACATCAAACAACATAGACCAACTTAACTGAATTTGAGACAAAAGCCCTAAAATATTAAATTAAAAATGCAAATATCTATTAACACATAACATAATAAATATTATAGGAACTTCAAAAGAGAAAAGGAGGAAGAACAATAAGAAATAGCATCATTACTTATTCAGAAGAGTTTGATTTCAACCGCTAGAAAGTATCAAAGGACTTTTTCACGTAACAAAAAAAATATTTTTTAATTATTGTTACCGAGGCCCGGTTCTGTGATGGGCAAAAAAAGATCTGAACCCTAATTGGTAGTATTAATTAGAGTTTCCAGAAACGTACTAAAATATTTTCGTTCAACGATTGTGGAGTTCGTCAATTAGCAACTTCTGAAAAGTAAAACCGATAAAAAATTGAGTTTCAAATGAGAATAATATCAAATTATTAAGTCATGAGAAAGCAAACATAAAAACAAATAATAAACACAAGCGAAAAAAAAAAATACGAGGTAGAACGAAAAAGAGATAGCTTAAAAGTTACATCAAATAACATCAACCAACCACGAAACCAACTTAACTAAATTAGAAAAAACACTTAACATTTTCAATTAAAGATGCAAATGTCTATAAAAACATAACACAAAAAAATATACATTTAGCAATATTATACTAAATAATAAAATAACATATTTAAACTTCAATAATTGCTAATAAACATTATAGAAACTTCAAAATAACTAACAGTAAAGTAAGAACTGTAGAATATGTATCAAAATCACGTAACAAAAATTTGTTTTTAATTATTATAGTCCCGAAAGTACCGAAAGAACCTGGAATTAAAAATGTTGAGTTCCGGTTTTTGATGTCTTGATGGTTCATACATATTGGAAACTACCCATTGATTATTAAAAATTGACATCTCGTCACTCATCCGCATGGAATTTTAGTAATCTATATGTAATTCAAAAGTTTACAAATACAGTTATTAAGAATACGCACATATGTCATAAGTTAATAATGCCCATTGAAATATTGATGGTGACATACTTTTTCGTTGCATCACCTTTGTTTAACCAAACGTTTTATTATATTCCAATTTTCTTTTACATATGTGTCGTTGCCCAAGCTCTCAATAAACCATTTTGAATGTTCATAAATCAAATTTTATTTGCCAATAATAGCAAGTGACTTTTGCAACAGTTACTCGTGTTTTTTTTCTGTCTCTCATCTACAACAGTTAGAATGAAAGTTGTTTTTGCCATTATGATAAGCCTTACCTTAGAAATATACAGGGTGGTCCGAATGGTTATCAGGAAACTTTGACAGCATATTTTGCAGATAAATATATGGTAAAAGTTCGTGTAGAAGTTTCATTTTTATTTCGATTTTTTTCCAGATAGTTTCTGAACTAATATCGATATTTCGATGACAATAAATAGTGTCTGGGATATGTCTGGGTGTTTTTTTACATGACAAATGATGACAAATTTGATTAAGATGTCAATATGACTTCTACTTGTAGGCGCAACCCAAGGATACTATAGTCTGTCCAACGAGAAGATCCTTGACAGTGATAGATGTGTCTGTCATTTTAATTTCAAAGTAGTTTATTTTATTTTACAAAGAAATCAGTTGGTACAACTGGAACGCATAGCAGGATATATTTAAAATTTGATTGACAAGATGACAAGTGATTACTTCAAAATATTGTGAAAAAAACTGTATAAAACTGAAAAAATGTAATCGAGTTATTTTATTTAATAAAAACGGTATGTGTTAATACAAAACAAACAAGAACAAGACACTACATACCAAAAAATAAAAAAAGAAGCTATTATTTACTTTCAAGCTTTATGAAACTACCCGCATTTATGATTATGTTTATCAATATAACTTATGTACAAATATAAATTTGTAATATTCCACATGAATAAATAAAAGAACATAGGTAAATAAAACAAACTATTTTATTAATAATAACACCTACCAAATTTTATACCTTAAAGGTTGATTAATTAACTTTAATCTTAATTTTTTAAACCAGTACTTTTTGACATTATTTTTTTGCAGTACTAAAATCCATTATTTACCTATCGTGTGATGTCGTCTACTCCTGTTTTTAGTATGTGTTTAGTTTGATCCTTCTACCATATACGAGATGCACTTATCTACGACGAAATGGTATACAAACTTTATCGATGGCAACTTCATTGGTGTACAAGACTTTCTGCCTGGGCAGCGAGTATTAACCATAAACTGTGCTTTGGGTCTACAGTTAATTTTCACTCGATTTTTCCTCCACTTAACTTCAAAAGACACAAAACACACGTAATAATAAGAATCAAAATGCATCATCTTCCAAAACGCAGGGTATTTAACAAAAGTTGACACAAAATTATAACTTATAATTTGGCAAGACTTTGACAAGCGTCAAAAATGACAAAAATCTAAAGGCGAGTTCATACGCATACGTCCGTTTGTCGTTCATCGTTCCGTCAAACCAATAAAATTGAAATACGAGCTGTCATTTTTTAAATAAACCAATAAAACTGGTTAAAAACAAGACACGACGCATGACGGATTTATATTTAAACCCATCCATAGATAACTTAAAAATTATTAGAAACTTTTTTTAGTAAAATAAATAAATTGGTATGGGACGTCATCTGCTTTTCTTCTGTCATCGTCTGTCGAAATCTTACCTGAGAAAAAAAAACAGAGTATATATAGAGATAAGGATAGTTCGATTCCTATCTTCCTGCACTGTCAGTTTTTTTACGTCATCTACTGACCGAGTTGAAGTTGGCGCTAAAGATTTTAGCCAGTGACAGTTATTAAGTTTGCATTTGACGGACGAGCGCACAGTGCGTTGGAAAATAAATTTAGCGGGACAAAAGCGTTTGGTTAGAAATAAGCCAAAAAATGTGTACTGATAAGAATAAATAGTAGACATTCCAATTGATACAAAAATGCATGAATATTCTTTGTATTTCGATACATTTTTATCAACCAAATTTGGTCGTTTTCTGCTGAGCAAGGTAGAGATCATACGAAAACAAAATATTTGCAAGTGCTTATACATTTTATTAGAAAGCCAAATTATGTTGAAGATTGCCAAAGGTATGTACTTTTCTACTGTATGTATATTATTTGTTAAAATTCTTCGTGCCTTTGTTCTGCAGATATCAAACTTTCACTTTTTTTTCAAATATCGATATATTGAATGATGTAGATCTTTTGAGTTACCAATAGTTTCCAACACAGGTAGTCACAGTCACAGGAAGTTCAAGCTTAACAGGTGAATACCCAAAAAGATTCATTTCAATCGGATAGTATAAAAACAAAACAACTCCATCAAAAGGCACTTAGTTTAAAAAATTGTCTTAGGTACTTACTATATATGAATTTACAATTACCAAGTGTTAAAATTAAAATTAAAATATCTATCTTATTTATTATTTTCAAAATAAAATATATTTTTTAAAATAAATTATCGAGGGTGTCACAAGATTACAAATTAATTAAAAAAAAACTGCTAAAGAGTTTTTTGATATCATAATTTTATGTATTTGGCAATAGTTTACAATACGGTTTTTGTGTGTCATGTACGAATAAATATCATAGTTTTATTATCTTGTATTTATTTATTAATAAATAAATAAATTTAACCATATAGTTGCTATATATTAGACCATTTGCTACGTTCTTAGATTTTAAGTCCCAAGTTTTGAGATTTTGTCCCGCTAGAATAACCATCCGCCGCACTGTGGAGCGCTGGTCAGCGCGTGACGTAGCATTCCACGGCGACTACGACAGCGGCGATTTGACGCGATCGAACAGTCCTTTAGAATATATACAGTCCTTGGGCGCAACCTACATATTTTTCAACGGTTTTGAAGAGTAACAACTTTTCGTACGTACCTGTATTACACCACCATGGTAAAAATGTACGTTTTCACTTTTTTTTTCTCTTGGTAAAAATCGCATCGAGCAACCGTTCCCAAGATATTTAGAATCGAAGAAATCAACACATCATTAACAGAAAATAAACATATTAAGTAGATATTAGACTGAAATCATAATTTTTTATCCCGTATTATATTATATCGTGTAAATTTTACTAGTGCCACTATGAAATGCACTGCCCTGTATATGACAATAGGCGTGACAAAATAAATCGCTTAAATATCAACATTGCAATCTTTCTTTGCGTGCAATTATTTTGCATCATGCATTTTTCAAATTCTCAAGTACTAATTACAACTCTTGTTTAAACTAGCTTGGGGCATTTCTTAACTTTTAATATTTACTATTGTGGTAGAAATAGCTTTCTATAACAAATAAGTACGATTGTGATCGTTTAAGAGTGAGAAATTCAGAAATATACGACCACTTCCATAAAAAGTAACAGCAAAGAACAGAATAGGGGCTTGGTATACAGAGTGTTTCTGGCAGACCCTGCATTATTTGAATTAGTCTGAGAATTACGAAATGTAGATTGGTGATTTTCTGAATATTAATCTTTTCAACGTCTAATGTCATCATCAAAATATCTTAATATGATGAGACTTTCAAAAATACCAGAAGTTTCAGAATCAGGGTTGGCATGATATACATATATCAATGATACATATCGGATATTATGTTTCTGGAGTTGAATTATATTACCTGTTAAGTATTTGCACTTATTTCTGGGACACCATGTATATCGGATATATATCCGATATTTGATATATTGATATATTGATATATAAATATCATGATATTTGCCAACCCTGTTCAGAACAATGGTGTTTAAAGAAATAACCTCTATAAATACCTGTTTTCTTGAGAGACATCAATCTCTACTTGTAATTATATCTATCCATTGAGTATTGATAAACCCATGTTGTATTTTGTAAAACTGTTCAAAATAAATAAACCTTACATCAAAAAGTACGTATTTGTGTTTAAACACATCCGGCTTTGTGGCAGAATAAATACTTTTACTCAAATTATATGTGAAATTACAGTATGATCGCAATAAAACGCCGTGAAGTTGGCTTGGAAATAAAAATTGATGACATTCGCCAATATTTTTTATATAAAATAACAGATAGCGATCTCATTTGCAAGTCAGCTTTGACGCCGTTTATTTTTTCCGATCGTATAACATTATTTTAAATATTTTTTCGATAGTTATTTAAAAGTTAATATACAAGCACTGTATTAGCGTGAATATTCCAAAAATTCGCCAAAAAATGAGACAAAATCTATATATGAAATGTCTGAATCTGAATATAACAACTCAGAGAACATTTTAAGTTTTTAGCAGTCACATCGATTAAAACCAATTAAAAAAAATAAGTATTTTAGCCAAATAATAACAGAGCATTATTAATTCATTGTCTTCTATATTTTTTAACATAAAATAAGCATTAGGCAACTTTCTAAATAGATAAATAATGGACTGTCATTATCGCTTCGGTGACAAATCGCACTTTTGCAATAATTACTTCGATATTTTGACAGCCAGGAAGTTCATTTGTGACACCCAGTGAAAACTACGTATCGAAAAATTCGAAAATTTCACTGTAATTAAATTAAGTAACGTTTTAATTCCATTTCCGGTAGAAGATACGAATTAAAATGTAATTAATAGAAAGAAATTACATCCATTAATAGTCCCTATATTTATGATCAATTCATTTGTAGACAATAATGTATTCCTAAAAAATCAAAATTTTATTTATTTTGTAATGTTTGTTGTTTGGTTTATCTTTAATGTAGATTAAATTAATAAGTATGAGATGGGTTTTGGCCTATTCCATTGCGACCATTACAGTCAGTTTTTTGAACAGGCTGCCTGTGCAAATCTACAGCATATTTTTTGGTTAGTTTATTTAATGATATAACCGATAATGTACACACGGCTTTGGGTGCCGATTGTCGTGCACAGAGTCTATAGACTCTGTGATTGTATAAATGAACAAAGAGAAAAGAGCAAGAATTTTCCCAAGCGCATGAAGTTGAGCTCCGGATTAAGTGGATAGGTAATAATTTTCTCTCCCCGACTTACAAGATTGCCATATCGATTCACTTCTAGACATGTAGGTAAATGATGACTAAAATAAACGACCCAAGATTTTCTCTTGCCGACCAGTATATTATCGTAGTCTTAAAGAAATTAGAATAAAATAAACTATGTTAAAAATTTTCATGTATACTACTGAAATGAAGATAATATATCTAAGCTAAATGTAATCTATTACAGTTGTAGTAAAATGAGTAACTAATTGTCGAAAATTCAGATCCAACCCTATATGCGACATTTTTTTGAAACGTCTACTTATGCGGTTTGAAATTTTGATGCAAAATCTGGCAATACCGCTCAGAAGAAATGTACCCACCCATACCCACCCAACTTTTTTCTCTTTTTAATACATTTGATTTGCCATTAAGCTGCCTACATCACTGTCTTACACGTTAAAATCCTATACACAGAGTTGGCCTGTCCCGATCGGTATATTCCAAAAGATTCAAAATTTTATTTATTTTGTAATGTTTGTTTTTAGGGTTCCGTACCCAAAGGGTAAAAACGGGAACCCTATTATAAGACTTCGCTGTCCGTCCGTCCGTCCGTCTGCCACAAAGGTCTATCTTATAAACCGTTATAGCTAGACAGTTGAAATTTTTACAGATAATGTATCTATGTTGCCGCTATAAAAACAAAAACTAAAAACCAAATTAAATAAATGTTAATAACTTAAATTCTTACTTAAAAAATACATTTATATACATATCCATAAGAAAAAAAAGAAGAAAAAAGAAGAAACTAAAAACATCTATATATTTCATGTAGTTACCTATTAATGAAAATAACACCAAGACATCTAAAAGACAGCGCTCTTTTCGCATTAGATGTTGTTCACTTACAATCATTTAATTTTGATATTTTTAAATGTTCTATAATTTAGAAATATTTTGTAAACCTGTGGTAAAAATATTATACTTAATACGCTTAATGCGCAAGAAAAAGAAACTAAAAATTATCCTAAAGCTTCTAGATAAGATGGATAATATATTTAAGATGGATTTAGCAAATGGATAAAAATCTATAATAAGTTTTAGAGCCTCAGGATGCTGTTCTATTTTACTTGACAGAAGTCTTTAGTGATCTCTTACTATATCCGAGAAAATTAGTAGAAGGTGCATGACATTCTTGATAAAAGTTGTTGACTGAATGTTGATGCATCATAGACACATTTTATATTAACAATAATTATTCAAAATTAATGAGATTTCTAATAATATTAAATTTAATGTCATATAAGCACAAAACGAATAAAAACTTTGGCTTAATTGGGAAAAGCTAGTTAAAATTACACATTAAAAAACTTTGAATACCTTGTATATCAAAAATTAAATTGAATAAGAGAAAATATATTACCAGTTTCCTTCTTAAAACTAATTTAAAATATCCAACAACAATATTTTACGGCACCTAAGAAACACCCAGTAATATACTGTCATACGTAATTTATTTTGGGAAACTAAATCAAGGTTTTCGGGAGAGTTAGGCAACCTAAAGGGTATTTATGGGTTAATGTTGGTCATGAAACTTCGGAGTTATGAAGAAAAACGGCTAATAATTGTAACCTACATCATATTTTTTGGAGCAATTTGGAGCGTTTTGTATTAGCTTACCTAAAATGTGATTTTAGATTAAGCAGTTCTTAATTACATCAAGGTCTTTATTGAATTGTTTTGTGGTACCAGGGAAGTCAAAACCAGAATTGCCATGGGAGAAAACCGTTGAAAACATTGTACTTTCTCAGAGTACCATCAGTTTTTAAACGCACTAATTTTATTTAATCAAAATATTTTAGCTTCAGCTAATAATCTTATAAGCTCGAACATTTCTTATGAGGGATTAATAATGGGCCCGTTTTTATTCAAAAATATTCACGATTCTGAAAATATGAACTATTAGAAAGTATACGAGTGAAATTGTAATTAAAAAAAAATACTTCTGATATTTTGATTTTTTGTCGCTATTGGGAACTTCTGCATCACTGTGCGTCGTCATGAAAGTAAACTATTACAGGCAATTTTTGCATGCTAGAAAATAAACCTGAAACGCTGCAGCTACCGTCTACACGTACCAACTTCTGGGTGCAATATCTGTGCTCTCCCGCGACAGTTATAGCTGCAGCTGTACCATAACTGCATTGTTGTCCTATCCACACGCACTATTTTGTTTGGAACGTCTTGAACTGTTCAAAACGTAACGTCTCTACCCGACTTTACATTCTCTAATCGTATTCTTTTTACATATTGTAATAACTTGGAGACTGAATCGTCCATATTGCTCTTTGCCAATGTCTTTATTATGGCCTTCTACAAAAAACCCTGATTTCGTCAGGCTATAGAGCATGTTCTGCCTTTTTCTGTTCTGATTGAGAAAACTTGATTTGCATCAGCTTTAAATACCAATTAAATACCTATGCTGTTAGTAGACATACTACAGTTTTGACGAAAATCACTAAAATTATCTTTTGCAGCAAATGGAATGGGCTCCCAGATTCTGTGCCAAATGTATAGCTCAATTAATCAGATATTTATCTCAGCATCCCAGAGGAATAAGGGCAGACGACATGCACCTTATAGGGTACAGCATTGGAGCTCACATATCGGGATTGGTGGCCAATTTTATCGATAACGACTTGGATGGAAAAATTGGAAGAATAACAGGTAATTTCTTTGTGTATTTAATTTAAATTTCGTAATTAGTGTTGAATGATGTGTTTTTTAGGTTTAGATCCAACGATATTTTTCTATATGGGTCAAAACTCATCCAGAGATCTGGATGCAACAGATGCACATTTTGTTGATGTGCTGCATACAGGCGCGGGGATTCTAGGACAATGGGGACCAACAGGACATGCGGATTTCTACATTAATGGAGGGTCTAGTCAGCCTGGGTGTGGTAGTGATACTGTTTTTAGTAAGTTTTAGTGATGAGCAAATTCAAGAACGAGACCGAGAACCTTGCGAAATCTTGCACTGGTCAGTCTTTGTCAGTCTGGTTACTCTTGCTATTTACCTGGTAATCGATAAAAAAAACTACCGGGTGCGTCTCAAAATTGGCTCAACCCTATAACTTTCTTATTTTTTCACATAAAAAAACGAGATTTGGTATGTTAATATATGACGATATTTTGAGACGCACCCGTATTATATAAAATACTGATAAATTAAATAACATATTTAAATGCTGCAACCTTTTTTAAATCTAGTAAATCTGGAATTCTCATTATGGTATAGATTTTTATTAAATTCCTGTTTGGTTTTTTACAGAGACTCTGGCATGTGATCATACAAAAGTGACACCATATTTTATAGAATCTATAATAACGAAAAAGGGATTTTGGGCATATCCATGTCCCACTCTATTGAGTTTTATGTTGAACTGGTGCCAACCTGAAGAAACAGACTATGTTTTGATGGGAGAACATGTCTCACATGAGTAAGTATTCTTTTGTATCATTTTTTTAGTAGAAATACTTGTTTTTTATGTAAAAGATTGGCGATGATCACCAATCACATAAAAAATATCAATAAATAAAAAATATACTTTTAAAGATATAATCACTAAACTGTAATATAAATCTACGTTAAATAAATAGGTATATATTTAACCCAGATTTCTATCTATTCTTAGAATGAATATGATTGTATAATAATAAAAAAATTTTCTTATATATGTATATGCATAATACAATTATGTATTCCTTGAGAACATAAATTTACTAGTTCTCATTAATGGGTTCAAGTCAACTGAACTATAATCATAATCATATTTATGTAATAATACCCAAGTAGCATTTTCACGACTTGCGACCACATGTTTACTAAACACAACGTTGGATTAGTTACAAAAAATAGTTAGCTCCCTACCTTGGGTATTAAAATAAATTTAAACGTTTTTATAACGTTGTGCCGACGTTGGATTAGTACTACAGCAAAGTAGAAGCTTCTGCGACGCGGAATAAACGTTGTCTTGTAACCTTTTTTGCTTAAGTGATCTTTAGGTGATTCGGACAACGTAGTTACAACGTTGGACAATATAGAGTTTTCCAACGTCGGTTTCAGGACCTATCCCAACGTTATGCAAACATCGTCTGTTTTACTAATTCCAACGTTGTTTAGATTTCCTTATTCTTACGTTGGTAGGACGTCGAGTCACTACCTTTTTGCAACTGTATTGAACCATAACCTTAAATCTTAAATTTTCACTTCATTGTTTTGTTCAGTCAGACAGTTCAGTGCTGTTTTTGTTTTTATAAAAAAAACTTAATTAAAATGGGACATAAGAAAGGTACATATAAAACTAAATTTAAATATACATCGACATATATTATCGATAGTTTATCCACTCCCTCGTTTATTTAGGTTATAGAGGGCGGCACAAGCTAGACTCTAGGATGACTAAATTAGGCAATCTTGCGACTAGTATACTACCTGTTAAGGCCGAACTGCGACTTTATTAGTCCAGTATGCGACTACTCGAACTACTCCATCTTAATCTCCAAAACACCAAAGTGAAAGCCGCCATGTTGTTAAATAAGAAAATGTTTTGTTCCTAAAATAGCAATTCCTGCTTTTTGAATACATTAACTTGAAATGTTTGACCCTAAAAAACACGCGGAAACAATTTTTTCGACTGCAAATAAATTATTCTTATTTTACTAAAAAAAAAAATTCAAGAAATTTTTTAAAATTTCTTTAATTTTAAGGCCCATTAGTATTTTTCAAAGTAGAAACAATACATTTATCAATAAAGTTGTTTGCGTTTAACTTTTTTGCCTTGGGTAACGAGTTACAGAGTCGGTTAAAGTGTTTCATTAATTATGATCTTCAAACATCCTCCACACTTAAATACTTTTGTTTTGTTTTCCTTCACTGCCATCTGACATATGTCTCTAACTAAATCATAAAAATAATATTTTTACTATAATTATCCCAATTTAGGATAAAACGCGACTTAGACGCCATATTAGTTTTGTATTTCTGTGAATTAGGATTTTAAACAACGTTGCAGTTTGTACTAAATTAGGCTTCTAGCCAACGTCGGTATCCAACGTCGTTTCGACCCAAAAATTATTCTCCAAACTAGTGCAGATTAGGGTTGGCACGAGGTCGTGCCGACGTTGCGCGCGCCGACGTTTGGTCGCGTAACACAACGTTGTCCCGACGTCCAAATGCTGCTTGGGTAATTCATTGACAGAATTAAATACCGGGGAAAGTCGCTTAAATTATACCGGCCCCTAAATTGTATCTCTTCAATATCTGGTTTGTAAGTTATATCCTTACCCTTGTTTTATACAAGGGTTATAGATACCTTATACCTAAGATATTTTTTAAGTACTTGTAGAAATAATACATATCAAACACATATATTTGTATCTCTGCTCTAATATTTCGATGACTTATGGTAAGTGTTTTTTGTATGACTTGAGGGAATGTAATTGAAGATGACTGATTTTGAGAAGTGTGATTTTTTAGCTTTTGAGCAAAGATACTACATATTTTCCAATACGTTTTCTGTAGGATTCCTATCATAAAAAATTGTATACTAATGCATATCAGACGTACTGATATATCTTGTTTAAACAAAGAGTAATGATAAAAATATGATATTCCAGTGCCCGTGGTATCTACTACGTCAGGACGAAAGCTGACCCACCATGGGCTTTAGGACCACCATTGGATATTAAACAGAAACTAGCTAGAAGAGCGTTGCCAATATTGAACAGATTGAAGAAAGAACTATCTCCAGATCAACAACAAAATAAATAATAATTCTGATTCATCCAAAACTCTTTGTAAATCTGTATATATTAATTTTAAACGTATAAAAAAAGTATTCCCTATCTGCAAAAACTTGATGATAGTGGTATCTATAAAAATATTTTTAGTATGCTGTTTTAAATTGTGCTTTAATTATACTTTGTGAAATATTAACAGTAGAAATCATAGCCTTATTAAGCCCCATACGTTCATGTGTCCATGCACGCATAGTGTGTATGATGCGGTTTCGTGATATTTCTTTTGATGCGGTTTGCCCAAAAATTGATATTCTGCCGAACTTGATATTCACTACTCATCGCATCGAGGTATTGGTGCATCAAATCGACGCATCGGCGAACCGCATCAGCGCATAGTGAGTATGGAGCTTTACTGCTATTTTCATAAATCATGAGAATGAAAAAATATTGGTTTCATTCGATGAGAAATATATTTAATATTTTAAACTTTAGTTTCAGAAACAATTTAGTTTTTTTGTCTGTAGGTTACTAGTTAAGTAGAGGTAGGCATATATATAAAGATTTAAAAATATTGAAATGTATAAATCTTGCAAAATTTGGTTAAACATGATACTGTAGTATATATTATACAATAGAAAATCCATCTTGCCCTATAGACTATTTTCAAATTTTTTTATAGATAAATAAGTTAGTTTGTGGATGGAATAATATTAATTTATTAACATATCAGAATATAATATTGCAAAAGATATTGTTTAATATTTAGATAAATAGATAAATCTGTGATTATAATTTTATATATTTATAACAAATAAAAATATAAAAATATTATACTCTTTTGATTTCTTTGAAATACCTCCCTCATTAAAAATGTGTTCAAATCAGCAATAATAAATAAGAATTAAAAAACCTTTTTACACTTGATATGTAAATAAAAGTTTTAAATTAATTTGACCTTTAACTTTGTTCGAAAAAAAAACGCCGTCAAAGTCTGCTGGGGAATGAGAATCGATGAAAATTTTGGCGAGGTTTTTCTCCAGGTTCTTTATTTTTTAATGGCGCTTACTGATCTTAAGAAGGTTGTAATTTATTTTTATATTGAGCATAAATGATTTTTAAGTAGGTGTACAAGGTGAGTCAACGATAGAGTAAAGTCCATTATCTCATTTGTTTCGAGGTTTACAAAAAAATGTTTAATACAAAAGTTATAGGGATGGTTAAGGTACACATTTTAAAATTATTATACGGTATACAGGGTGCTTCAAAAAAGTGTGGCGAATATAACATATGTTTTTTTAAATGCAACACCCTATTTTTTATTTTATTCTTAGATTCTGCGTAAAATTCCGTAACTTTCTTATATATAATGTTATATACCTAAAATTAATAGTTTTTGTTATATTTAAATTTATTCAAACAAACGTTAGATTGCAATATGATGAAAAATGGTCAATGATGGCATTGATTCTGAAGTTGGACAACTAAAATTTGGAAGGAGAATTTTATAGAGATATAGAAAAAGACCTATGTAAAGATATTTTAGTTAGATGTTACAGGGTGTTCAAAATATATTTATGAATTTCAACTACTTAAAATTAAGAAATTTCAATTTTTTTAAATGGTACACCCTATATATTATCATTTTTTCTGATAGATTTTACAAAACTCTTCAACTTTTATTAAGTATGTCATATACCTATTTTTATTACTTTGCTATTTATTCCAATTTTTTTCTATTTTTACCGATATTTTTAATACAATTGCGCTATAACATCATAGTTACCACGACAAAAAGTAACAATTATAACAATTTCATGTCAGTTAAGCAAGTTAAAAACAAAATTTAAATTTGAGTTTAATTTGTTGTAATAAGTATAAATGGTAGAGGTAATAGTTACAGATTTTCTGGAAATGAATTAGTCAATGTGACTGATATACACGGACAAGCCTAGAAAAGCACATTTTTTGATTCAGTACCATATATTATATAGTACTTTGCTAACTACTATAAGAATAGATGTATATTATCTAGAAAACATCTTCAGTGAGTAATGAGACGGTTTCGCGGCAGTAGTAATATTGGCTATACCAAATGAAATATAAACCAGAATTACTACGAGAAAAAACTGTAATATTGGCTATACCAAATGAAATATAAACCAGAATTACTACGAGAAAAAACTTCACTGTATGTCGAAGAAAATTTCTGTATTAGTAGTCTTCAGCAATTAGGTAATCTAGTATTACCCTAATCTGTGGCTATTCGCTCCGACGAAAAATCCCAAGTGTCATCTTTCGTAATACAGAAATACACCAAGAAATTCACTACTGCGATTTAGTTTATTTGAGTAAAGTTAATTAATTTTAACTAATACCAGCAATTGCAACTAACTATGAAGCTACTTGTTAAAAGTAAGTAATAAATAGTTTTGTTTTGTTATGGTAACTATGCTTTTATAGGGTAATTGTATTAAAAATATGGGTAAAAATAGAATGGAAATAAATCGCAAACTATTAAAAATAGGTAGGTATATGACATACTTACAGGGTATCATTTAACTAAAATATTTTTACATATATCTTTTTTTTCATCTCTATAAAACTCTCCTACCAAATTTTGGTACTCCAACTTCAGAAACAATGGCACCACTGACAATTTTTTACCACACTGCAATTTAACATTTGTTTAAATAAATTGAAATATTGCAAAAACTATTAATTTTAGGTATATAATATTATATATAAAAAAAGTTATGGAATTTTACGCAGAATCTAAAAATAGAATAAAAATTAGGGTGTTGTATTTAAAAAAACATATGTTATAGCCGCCACACTTTTTTGAAGCACCTTGTATACTCTATAATAATTTTAAAATGTGTATCTTAACCATCCCTATAACTTTTGTATTAAGCATTTTTTTGTAAACCTTGAAACAAATGAGATAATGGACTTTACTCTATCGTTGACTCACCCTGTACACCTATTTAAAAATTGGAGATTTTGTGTCTCAAAACTTTTTATCCTTTTTTAATATTTCTATCTTAAGTTTTATGTCAATTTCTATTAAATGACGCCTAGAGAGTGACCTCGCCAAAATTATCATCGATTCTAATTCTCCAGCCTGCTTTAACGCTGTTTTTTTTCGATCATACGATATATTTTACTGAATTAATTTTTGTTTTCAATATTTTACCACTGTCCATTTAAATATATTTTTTATGTCAATTATTAATAAATGCTATAAAGGATTAACCCGGCAGAAGTTATCATAGATTGCTATATTAAAAGCAACTATGACGCCTTTTTTAATGTGTGGTATATCATAACAATAAACAAAGATTGCAACTGTATAAAGTTTTAATTATGAAAGCAAATATGACAGTAATATCTAGTAGGTTATCGTTTCTCTGTAAAGTGTTTGTAAAGTTATGTTCAAAAATTTGACAAGTGCATTAGTGAAAAGTGAACTTTATAACATTTTAACGTTAAATCTTGCACCTCAAACCAGAACCCTGGCTACCAATCCTGAAGAAATTATTTCTAAACATTCTCAATTTCTAAAAACCTTATTTTTGGAGTCGGTAAAATCCGTTCAACCTTCGACATTGATCAAAAACAAAATAAAAGTCACTGAGAGCCATCTGTCGGTTGGTGGACGAACTTTCGCATTACAGAAACCATGCTATATTGTCGGTTTTGGAAAGGCAGTTCTCGGAACGGCTGTGGAGTTGGAAAAAGCCTTGTGTGATGGATTACAGAGGGCGATAGTGACCGTTCCAAAAGGAATTTTTGAACAATATCCGAATTTCAAGGAATTTTTGAGGAAAACTGAATGTATTGAGGGGGCTGTGAATAATATTCCTGACGAAGATGCGATGGACGGGGCTAGAAAAATTAAGGAATTGGTTGAAACGTTAGGAGAGGATGATTTGTTGATAGTCTTGATTTCAGGTAATTTCAAGTAAAAAAGTATGTTGATAAATAGCTAAAATCATATACACAGGGGATTCAGAAACAACAGAAATATTTTAAAATTGTCTTTGTGCGTTCCTGGCTTCATTCGATAAAAATATTTTAAAATAAATACAACTTCATCATTGTAACTTTTTTCTCAGTTTCAAAAAAAATTTAAGTCGAGTTTATACGCATCTGCGCCCGTGCTTCGTTCATTGTTCCGTCATTCCAATAAATATTTGAAATATGACCTGTTATTTATGAAATAAACCAATAAGACCGGTTAAAAACATCGAGAGATGATGACGGATTTATACAGAGTGGTCCGAACTATATTCCGGAAACTTCGGCAGCATATTCTGCAGATAAAAATAGGTAAAAAAATTGTATAAATATATGCCCTAAAATGCTTAGTTTCGGAGATAGAGGGTGTCGAATTTTTCTAAATGATTTCTGAAGTAACTCCTACTTGTATAGGGCGCCACCTACATATTTTTTAACTGGTTTGAAGGGTAATAACTTAAGTTATAATAAGTATTTATTAACACAAACATCCGATACGCTACTGAATCAGGTAAGTCAAATTAACGTATCTAAATTCTTTGACATCTAATCTTTGCCAAGTAATAAATAAAAGCTAAAATGCAAGAAAAATATATAATTTAGTTAATTTAAGTGAATTTCATAAATGATCGGTTTATATATGTATATGTATGTATATTATATAGTCACTTACTAGCGAAAAGTTGTTCCATTATTTCACTCAATTTTTGCCGAGATCTACCGCACGCTACACAACCAACTATTTTAGTCTTTTTCGATAAATCGCGATAGTGTCACTGTTAATTTAAGTTCTGCCACAATTTCCATCTAGATTTACTACCTTTATACAGATACAGTAGAATAAATAATAAATAACATAAAATAAGCTCCGTAAAGACTGACAAATCCACAAAATTTCAAATCAAATTCAAATGTGTCAAATGAATCGTCAAACAGAACTGTCAAGGATCCCCACCCTAGAGAGCTTTTATGGTGGCTTTTCCGCCCACCATGCATGAATACATGGATAGCATTATGCTCCTTCCTTAGTCTTCTTATTCAAAGCTTCATACCAACCTTTGAATAAGAAGACTACATACCAACCTTTGAATAAGAAGACTAAGGAAGGAGCATATCAAAAATCTTAGGTACACCGCGATGGGCTTCAAATATGGCCGACTTAAATTCCGGTTTATCAGTGTCGTTCTAATTTTATTTAAAAAATGTAAAACTATGATGTAGGGTAGACGTGGGGTAGACTCAATAATTTGTTGTTTTATTTTACGTTGTGAATAAATGTTGGTAGTTATTAAAATTGTTATAAAAATATATAATTCTAATAAAAATGATAAGTTATAATAAGTATTTATTAACACAAACATCCGATACGCTACTGAAGCAGGTAAGTCAAATTAAGGTATCTAAATTCTTTGACATCTAATCTTTGACAAGTAATAAATAAAAGCTAAAATGCAAGAAAAATATATAATTTAGTTGATTTAAGTGAATTTCATAAATGATCGGTTTACTACACGTATGTATATTATATAGTCACTTACTAGCGAAAAGTTGTTCCATTATTTCACTCAATTTTTGCCGAGATCTACCGCACGCTACACAACCAACTATTTTAGAGTCTTTTTCGATAAATCGCGATAGTGTCACTGTTAATTTAAGTTCTGCCACAATTTCCAACTAGATTTACTACCTTTATACAACTATCAGTAGTAGAATAAATAATAAATAACATAAAATAAGCTCCGTAAAGACTGACAAATCCACAAAATTTCAAATCAAATTCAAATGTGTCAAATGAATCGTCAAACAGAACTGTCAAGGATCCCCACCCTAGAGAGCTTTTATGGTGGCTTTTCCGCCCACCATGCATGAATACATGGATAGCATTATGTTCCTTCCTTAGTCTTCTTATTCAAAGCTTCATACCAACCTTTGAATAAGAAGACTAAGGAAGGAGCATATCAAAAATCTTAGGTACACCGCGATGGGCCTCAAATATGGCCGACTTAAATTCCGGTTTATCAGTGTCGTTCTAATTTTATTTAAAAAATGTAAAACTATGATGTAGGGTAGACGTGGGGTAGACTCAATAATTTGTTGTTTTATTTTACGTTGTGAATAAATGTTGGTAGTTATTAAAATTGTTATAAAAATATATAATTCTCATAAAAATAGATAAGTTATAATAAGTATTTATTACCACAAACATCCGATACGCTACTGAAGCAGGTAAGTCAAATTAACGTATCTAAATTCTTTGACATCTAATCTTTGACAAGTAATAAATAAATGCTAAAATGCAAGAAAAATATATAATTTAGTTAATTTAAGTGAATTTCATAAATGATCTTTTTACTACGTGTATGTATATTATATAGTCACTTACTAGCGAAAAGTTGTTCTATTATTTCACTCAATTTTTGCCGAGATCTACCGCACGGTACACAACCAACTATTTTAGAGTCTTTTTCGATAAATCGCGATAGTGTCACTGTTAATTTAAGTGCTGCCACAATTTCCAACTAGATTTACTACCTTTATACAACTATCAGTAGTAGAATAAATAATAAATAACATAAAATAGGCTCCGTAAAAACTGACAAATCCACAAAATTTCAAATCAAATTTAAATGTGTCAAATGAATCGTCAAACAGAACTGTCAAGGATCCCCACCCTAGAGTGCTTTTTCCGCCCACCATGCATGAATACATGGATAGCATTATGCTCCTTCCTTAGTCTTCTTATTCAAAGATACCAACGAACTACCGCTGCGCCATCTCCTTGCAGCATTTGAATCGAGACCAGTTGTAAATTTTCAGAAAATAGACACAACTTTATGTCATGTCGATGAAACAGATCTTAGCACAGACCAGCAATATCTATACCGTATATGTGTTGCTGATGTCCTAGATGGAATCCTGACAGTTTATCTGAGAAAGATCTGGGAAAGATGAGTCGTGCAAGTCGTTCCCAAAATAAATTTCGAGGCCCAGGAATATACAGAGTTGATCGATTGGAGCCATTGTAATGTCACAGAGCCGTCTCTGACAAAGCATATAAGTGATCACGATTTGAGAGAGGCAATTCAAAGCAAGGCCTTCATACTCGTAATTAAAAAAACAATCAAATTTCCATGTCACACTCAGGCGGCCGAGCGCTGTGTGAAATTAGTGACTTAGGCATCTAGTAAGGTATGTGGTGAAGAATCAAGAGATAGCTATCATTCATGTCAAACTAGAAGCAAAAAGGTTTTTACCAGAATTTAAAACCAAACAGCAGTATTTTTCGAGTAAGTGACCGAAAACAGATTAATAGATCGAAGTTTGTATAAAGGGTGGAGGAAGGGGGCGTGGGGGGGTGGAACTCGACCTCCCCGTGGTCAGTTCTGGGTTGAAAAAGTGATGAATAAAAGTTTTATAAATAAATAAATTTATTATATTAAATCATCTCTTTTCCAAGCAAGAAACTGTACATATATTAATTTTTGAGTAAACAGGAGCGCAAGTAAATGATAAGATAAATATATTTTTTTTTAATTCTGAGTCATTCTAAAGGCCGCCTCAGACACGCATGCTTTTCGATCGTTTTGCTTGCACAGTCATAAGTTGCAATGCAACACTGAACGCTGGCAATCCTTCATACACTCCGTCTAAAGTACAGTTTTCTCTTCAGTCATCAGTCTCCAGCTTTCAGAATAAACATGGACCGTCAAAAATTAGCTGTTTGTGCAGCAGCAGTCTTGATCATAAAAACGAAAAAAAAAAAAAAGGTGAAACCCCGAAAAATATGGTCCAAAAAATGGTTGCTTTTGAGAGAAAAATTTACACATATTAATTTATTGAATGAATTGAAGTTAGAACCTTAAGTTATTTTTGTCGGAATATTCCTTAAACCTTAATTTTTCACAAACATTCATGATTTCCATATAATTCAATGAAATCTGAGAGAAACTCTCGTGACATCAGTCTCAGATCAGCCACTTTAAATTAAGTAAGACGTAATGCAACACTGAAGACCAATTAGACTCAACGTCTTCTTCGCAAGCAAGATGGAACGCGAACGAAAAATCAACCCGCGGTTGATTGCGTTCAAGCCAGTCAATTGACGGTACACCATAAACAAAACGGACGACTTGATGCCTCACACACACCGTCTTGCATAGCAACTTAAGACTGTGCAAGCAAAACGAACGAAAAGCATGCGTGTCTGAGGCGGCCTTAAAGCACAATGGATATATAGAAATAGTTTTAACACTATTACGGCCATTAATTTTTAGTTTGATATTTTGACATTTTCAGAGGAGGAGAGGCGCGGTCAAACTCAATTTTTTTGTCCAAACCAAAAAAGCAATTTAAGTTTTAATCAAATCCACACACTTTTAAAAGTATGACAAGATAAAAATGCAAATTTTTTTTTCGCCCCGGCCTATGAACAGTATACTTCAATTTTTAATGTACAGAAGCGGTTAATTGGCAAGTGAAAAACTTCCAAATTATTGTTTATTCAAAAGTTCCAAGTTTGCGCAGACCAATTACTGAAACTTTTCTGCAACTCGGCTCCGGCTTGCCCAATTATTAACAACAAAACGTGGTACGGGTCGAGGCTTTAGGGATGCCGATGCTGAAATTTGCCGATTTAATATTTATGTTTAATTTAGTTTCCAGTCGATTCGATCTCGCTAGTCTAGCTCTCTTTATTAAGCTGCAAGATGGCGGAGCGAAAATTGAATATCTACGTAAACAAACAACAGCAAAAAGCATTGATAGGCTAAATCTTCTATAAGACCCAAGCTATACATAACATACGATATAACAGTTATAAGGTTAAATAATAATTTAGTAAAAAAATATTAATTTCAGAGAATATACCATATGATCGAAAAAAAAAACGGCGTGGTCCGACTGGGGAATGACAATCGATGATGATTTTGGCGAGG